TAATCTCTTTACAAAATGATATATATACAGTTTGGTGCTAAAGTTAAGATTTTGCGAAAACTGATAATGGTACAAAATATATGGATAGTGGGTTTTGTGCCTATCTGGAGTCAAAAGAGATAATTTATCAGACAAGTTGTGTCTACACTAGTGAAAAAAATGAGGTTTCTGAAAAAAAAAACAGACACATACTGGAGTTAGTTCGGTCACTAATGTTCACCATGAATCTACCAAAGAGTTATTGGGGAGATGCAGTTCTCTCAGCTGTCTATCTTATTAATAGAATGTTTTTGAATTTTAAAAGTTTTATGGAGATTTTGTAAGGAAAAATTTCCTACATTGTTTCCCCAAAAGTGTTTGCATGTGTGTGCTTTGTTCATACTAGAAATGTGGGTAAGTTAAAACCTAGAACTTTTAAGTGTGTATTTGTTGGATATTCTTATACCCAAAAAAGGTATAAGTGTTATCATATACCATCTAGAAAATACTTTGTAAGATGTTACCTTTAAGGAGAATGAGTCTTACTTTAACTCAAACCCAACACATTTTCAGGGGACAGTGAGAAGGAAGAAGTGATACATAATTGGGTAACAATTGAGAGTCATATGCAGGAGGACAATTATATTGCCGTAAGTCTTAATCAAGAAGATGATGTTGGACGTCTAAATAAACCAGACTTGGAAAAGGTATTCAAGGAGAGAGAAGTCTAAAAAAGTCATCATGCAGTCTGTCTCAGGTCAAGAATCTTCTCTGGTTCTAGAAGATTCTGATGAGTTATTTTTCTCTTGTGATTTATTAGACAAACCTATTGTTGTTAGAAAAGGAACGAGAACTTACACTACCTATATCTAAATTTGTTTTCTATGACTCTCTATCTTCCTCTTATATAGTTTTTGTCTTGTCTGTTTTCTCTGTGTCTACTCTACAAGATTGGAGAAAAGTTTTAGGAGATTTCAAGTGGAAGAAAGGCATGATTGAAGAAATAAGAGCATTGACAAAGAATGAAACATAGGAACTTGTTTCACCTTTACAAAGAAAGAAGATAATTGGTTGCAAATGGGTGTTCATCATAAAACGCAAAGCAGACGGATCGATCGAAAAGTACAAAGTTAGATTGGTGGCTAAAGGATTTACTCAAACCTATAAAATTGACTATTAGGAAATATTTGCACCTGTTGCGACAATGAATACAATTAAGATATTTTTATCTTGCGCAGCTAACCTTGATTGAGATATATTGCAGTTTGATGTAAAAAATGCATTCTTCTATGGAGATTTAGAGGAAGAGGTGTACATAAAAATTCCACCTGAATTTGAAAATGAGAGGATGTAAGGAAAAGTTTGCCAATTAAAAAGGGCATTATACGGATTAAAACAGTCTCTAAGAGTATGCTTTGAACGGTTTAGAAGAGTTATTATCTCTTTTGGATATCAATAAAGTAATACGGATCATACTTTATTTATCAAACATTATGAGGGTAAGGTCGTTTTTCTCATTGTTTATGTGGATGATATTGTGGTGATTGGAGATGACACAAAGGAGATGGTTCGGTTGAAGGAACTTCTTGCTCAAGAGTTTGAAATCAAAGATTTAGAAAAATTGCAATATTTCTTGAGAATTGAAGTTGTCAGATCCAAGCCGACATAATCACCTTTTGAGAGCAACTACAAATTGCAAGCAGGTAGTGGTATATCAGTTGACTTGGAAAGATACCAGAGACTAGTTGGAAGACTCATTTATCTCTCACATAGCAGACCTAATATAACATATGCAGTTAGTCTTATGAGCTAGTACATGCATGATTCTCGTGAGACTCATTTACATGCTGTTTTCCGCATATTACGATACTTGAAGTCTGCAATAGGAAAATGTCTGCTCTTTTTTAAAAATGGTCACCTTAAAATAGAAACATTTACAGATGCCGATTGAGCTGAGTCCCTAAATAATACAACTACAGGTTACTGCGCACTTGTAGGAGGCAATTTAGTCACATGGAAAAGTAAGAAATAAAGTGGGGTTGTCTGCTCAAGTGCTGAGGCAGAATATAGAGTAATGGCTCAAAGAGTATGTGAATTACTATGGTTGGAAAAATTAATGAGGGAGTTAAAACTGCTTAAAGACGAGAAACTATTCTTGTTTTGTGATAATAAAGCAGTAACTAACATTGCTCATAATCTAGTTCAACATGATAAAACAAAACACATTGAGATTGATTGATACTTTATAAAAGAGAAGGTGGTTGGTGACTTTCTATACTTATATCATATATCATATATATTCTAATGAGTAGGTGGCTGACATTTTCAGTAAAGAACTATGTAACAAATCTTTTCAGAGCCTGATTTGCAAGTTGAACATGTGTGATATTTTTGCACCAACTTAAGGGAGAGTGTTGATAAGGATTTCATGCTAAGTAAAATACTATATTAGTTAGAGTTCTAATAGTATAATTATATTTTATAATTAGAGTTCAACTAGAATAATAATAACCACTCTATTTATATCTTCTAAATGTAAACACAAAAAATAAGAAATAAAATTAAAAGTTTATTTTCTCCAAAAATTTCATACTGTAACCAACAAAATAACGATATTTGTACTATTGTTAAAGATATTAATAGTTCTGATCAAAGAGACAAAGTGGCTTTGATACATCATTCAAAATAATCAAGACTTTCATCAACACATAATCAATGGTTACATATGTGCTCCACGCATGCTCATAGGCGTAAAACAGTTACTTGGAAACTGTTTCAAGTAAATGTGCATTCACTTTTTTTTTTTTTTTTTGGAGATAGGGTAGGCATACCTTTCCTCATTCGTGAGAAAAAAGACTTGATCTTCTGCGGCCTAGATTAGAAAAATTACCAATTTTAACTGTCAAGAGTGATTAATTTTTGATATATTGTTATCCTATCAATCAAGTTGAATAATGGAAAAGAATCTTTTAACTAGTTAGTGGGTGGTATACAAATCTGGTGTTGTTTGGTAGCTAACAAGATTTTGGGATGGTATGTACATATTTTTTTTTTTTAAATTTTGACTTCAAAGATGAAATCTTAAGAGAGATGAGGCGGGACAACCTGCCATTGGATGTAGGGAGGAAGTATAATAGAAGATAAATAGCACTAAATGGAAAAATAATAAACGAGATAGAAAATATGGAGAGACACAAAGAAAACGAAAGGCGAGACCTTGCAGAGTCAGATCAAACTCATAAGCGCTATTAACTTGTTTTATTAGATTAGTGTATTTACTGGTAAATAGAATAATCTATTTCCTGATATTTGTTGTTAGCTTGTAAATTAAATTTCCCTTGTAATCATTTCTGATATAAATGATATTCTTTTGTCTTTTAACACTGAATGTTGGATGTTGTTGTAATCTTCTACATTAAATTTCCCGCATAATCACGCTTTTCCCTGGGTTTAACAGAATGCTGGATACATCAATAAGGAGCAATGTCTTCATCTCTTTGAAGAACTGGCTAAATACAGGTATTCATTGTGTTGCAAACACTTTCCCGGATGAAAATTTTAGTTAAGAGATGCATAGCAAGAAGCTCTTAAGCCAATACCACTAGGACAAGAAGCTCTAAAACTAGAATGGATATGGGACAGAAAGAGATATGTGATATAATGAGAGAATGGGAGAAAAAAAAGGGAAAACAAGAAAAGGGATGAAAAGCAGAGGATATTTATATTAACTTCATTATTTTGTTTTCTTTTCCAATAAAATAAAAAACTTACTATTTTTTTCGTTTAGTCTACTTACTGATTCGTTATTATTGCATAATTTTAGTTTTTTATCACAAATTTATGTTTTCTAATAATATTTTTCTAATTACTTATTTCTTCTTTATTTTCTCAATAGAATTGTTATTCTGTCATTACTTGTTTCTTTTCACTTTTTTTGGTGAAATTGTTCTATCAGATAAAAATACCGGTTTCTTGTTTCTAGGGAAAGAAAATCTTGATTAAATAGAATGACTGATTTGTCTCTGTTTTCCTTTTTGCTTTCTTTCAGTACTGAAATAAAATTAACAATTCACAACTTTTTATTAAGTAAACTTTTTTGTTTGTATTTACTTACTTTTATTAGCGAGGCACATATTGCCTTCTCTCCTTCCTTTTTGCTTATGAACTTCCTTTTCCCTATAAAAATGAGTTAGTAGTCTGTCCTTTTTAATCAAGTTAAATCATTGATTTGGCCTTAATTTTTACTTTTCTTTAGTTTTTGAGGAATAAAATTATTTGTCATTTTTTGTTTGTCGAGCAAACAAATTATTTTCAATACTTATTTGTTGTATCTTTACACTGGGAATGAAAAAAATAAACACTTGGTTTTTTCTTTGGGGTTTAAGTTTGTTAAGTATTGCCATGTTCTCTTAATAAGCAAAATATCTCGATAACACTTAAACATTATAATTACATAGATTTTGTACTATTAAAATGTATCCACTTTAAGATATTCTTTTCTCTATTAATAATGGAATAACACGTACATAAATATATTGCACTCTTCTATTAATATTAGGATTAGACAATTTCTATAGCAACCTTCTCCAATATTAAAGTTTTTCCACTTCTGTTTCTTTCTGTTCTCCTTCTGTTTGTATAGCTTGTTTTGGCTGGTTATAACTTGGCTAAACATTTGGATAAGATGATATTGTCAAACATTTAATTATTGGTTGACTGATGCATTTGAAGCTGATACTGCTTGTATGGTAGAATGGAGGCTGATCAATTTAGACAAGTTGCCTTGAGGATTGTTAGATGGGATCCACTCAGCTGTTCCTTTAATTTAAGTCATATACTAAATGCAGCTATAATAAATCAGACTTGAAAGGTGTTTCATCTCTAGTGCTTTGTGAGAAGAACATACCCGTAGATGATACATCTATTCGTTGTCTTCACTTTAACAGAGTAACTACCTACATTGGCTTTTCCAGACAATTAAGTAAACAAATTATTGATGTCTCATTCTTTATGCCTCATGATAACTATTTGCTATATCTCATACTACGAATATTTGCATCCCTTGACTGGTTAGTGGTTCTACAAAATGTTAACTTCTCTCACTTCTAGATTATCAAGGTTCTTGTATTAAATATATGTTCTAATGATTTGATTATTAGCATTATTTTGAAGAATGCATGCATATTTAATTCATATTTTTCTAGGACGTTACCAAAAATATCAAAAGAAGAGTTTGGGTTAATATTCGATGAGCTTGATGATAGTCACGATTTCAAGGTATATTAATTTTTAACTTTTGGCACCGATAGATACTAAAGATACTTTTTTTGCTTAAGAAGTTAATTTCTCTATGATATGTGATAGTCATGATTTTCGTAGTATGTAAGATGAGCTTGCTTTGTGATGAGATATCCGTATCACCAGTTCCTACTGGTTGATTGAACATCTCTGTTGATTATTTATTGGACTTGCTCATTTCACCTATGGATTAATAAGGATTAATTTGCTGACATTTGCTTATTGGAATTGCTCTTGGTTTCACATGTAGATCAACATGAATGAATTTGCTGACCTTTGCAATGCCATTGCTCTAAGATTCCAAAAGGAGGATTCTGTAAGTCAGATTACTCTTGAGCTAAAACAAAAGGAAACATTTCCGATCTTGATTATTGAGAGTGATAATGATCAATTAATGCATCGTTGATACTGGACGTTGTTTTGCAGCCACCTTGGTTTGAAAAATACCCGATGTTCTACCATTCACCTTTCTCTAAAAGGTTGAAAGAATTTGTTCGGAGCCCCAAGTTTGGATACATAATATCCTTCATTCTCATATTGAATTTGATCACTGTGATCATTGAAACAACGGTACAGCTCTGATTCTTGTCAATTATTTCTGCTCTAACTTCCTCTTTCTAATGAACTGATAGATGACACATAATGAAACAAAAATATTTGTATTATTTTCGTATAAATGCTGGTGTTCTAGATGGCATTCATTTTCAAGCAGTCTGGTGTTGAACTACTCATTCAATTCCAAATAATCACATGCCTTTCTGTCAAATAAGACTTTAAGATTAGTGTACAATCAATTTGCCTATGATATTAGTGCTGGAAGATCACTTATTATTTCTGTCTATTTATGTTAGCTTGTGTTAGAATCTTCTTGGTGGTGAGCTTATAATCCTAGGGGCTCTGCAGAGTCCAGCCTGACGTGTGAGATTACTAGTTCATGTCATGCAAAGCATGTATTTCAGTTGGTGCTTTTTCCTGTAGTATTACTTATGGTAGTAATGTATTTGGTTTGAGGTACTTTTCTTGTTACTCTATAAAGGATTTAGATATGAATTAGCAAAAAGAATACGAGGATTTATTTTAACACAATAACATATGATATAAAAGTTTATAAATATACTATTAAAATGAGCTAAGATATTATAATAATAAATAAGTTTTAACTTAAGTAAAAATATGTAGACATATGAATGTTATAAAAATAAATAAATTTAAAATAAAATAAAAATGTGTAAAAATATAATCATAGAAATTGAATTAGTTGGCTGGTTCTAGCCGGTCAGCCAGGCCACTTATGGCAAGGGGCCCATGTGAATAGGGAAGGTCATACGATTTGGCTTTACAGATCCTCTGACTAGCAAGTCATTTAGCCATAGTTGGCTAGCCAAGAACATGGTTCTGTTCAGCCAGGTCTAGCTGTAGGCCACCCAGCCAAGAGAGTATCCAGGAGGGATCACATTTTGCCAGATTACATGACCTGGCCTATTGCTCATCCAAGTGACACAATCTGGCTTGTAAACATGGCTGGCTGGGCCTCTTGGCTTGCCCTGGTTGTCGTTTGGTAAATTGCATTTTAACTTGTTGAGCAGCCATCTGGCTGATTAGCAACTGTTCTAACCAGGTAGGTGTTTGTGGGGCAATCTGATATTACCCAAAGTGCAAGGAGCGTTTTAGTACATTTGGGGAAATGGTAAAGGTAGCTGATTTAACTTGTAAGAGAAGCAATTGTGCTTGCTTATGCCTGTGCTTGCTTATGCCTGTGCTTGAATTACTTGTAAGTGGCTTAGTTTGGCACCTAGGAGTCAAAAGAAACATACTTCTAAAATTGATTGATTAATTGTAAGTGGCTTAGTTTGGCAATTTGGATTCTTACTTGTTTTTTTTGTATGATTTTGTTTTTTGTTGTGAACTTTGATTGCAGCTTGATATACAAAACAATTCTGGTCAGAAGGTGTGGCAAGTGGTAGAGTTTGTATTTGGTAAGGGATTGCAAAGGCATTTATATTACTATGCATGATTTTCTTTGTTCATAAGAATGTAAGATAGTTCTTTTCTGTTTCCCACTTGGTTCACTCAAGACCTGAAAAAGCATTTGGGCATGAGGAGGAAGGCTCAAATGCGTCCCTAGGTTCAGACGAACCTTATTGCCATCTGGATGAAGGTCCTCGAAACAAAATTTTTGGAAAAACAAGATTTTCAGCTAAAGTTTTCCAAACGATGCAAGTACACCATCTATGCAAGTTGAGACTCCAAGAACCAACAATTTTTTGGACTCTCCAAGTGAAGAATTTTCAGTGTTTGTCCTAGCCTATTAGTGGGTATTTTAGGGGTTTTCTTATCATTTTGGTATTCTCCCCTAATAAGTATGCTCTCCAGAGTGAAGATTCTCAGGTGGCTCCATGAACATAGGCATAATGCTGATTCACAAATGATTCCTTGTGTTTTACTCTCTATTTCTCTCTCACTTTTATTTCAGTCTTTGTTTGTTGGATGAGACTATGCTCAACACAATGTGCATATTCCCAGACCAAAAGCGTTAATAGCTTTTATGGAGCCAGATCCTTCAAAACCGGAATATCTTCTTAATGCAAAAAAAGAAAAATTTAAAATCAGACTGATGTGCTATGGATGTGGCATCATAATGGCATCATTTAAGTTATCTATAACTAAAATTGCATTAAACCTGACTTCGTAAAAGTTTGGACCAGCAAGCCATATGGGGAGGTGGTACTTCTGCTCCCCTTACGAGGGAGAGGTCAAGAGTTGAATTAGTGACACTCAGGGGTGTGATGATTCTGCAACTTTCCTGGTTAGGACTTTTTCACTGATTCCTTACGCATGGTTTGGAGGGTGCTTGTGCCATAGTATGTTGGGGGAAGATTAACTGAAACCAATGAAGGAAGATAGTACAGGACACTTCATTTTCTTTATAGAAAAAGGCACCTCTAATAAGTACTTAGTCAAAGGATCTAAGCTACTTGATAATTGTATTAGCATGTTGAGCCCTTGCAACAGGGTATAGGTATCACAAACATTTGAATCGGCACTTTATTATTATTGCTCTTTGGTCTTTCATCATGCATCTTCCACTCAATGCTTGTGTTATCAGACTTCATCCTCAGTTTCTGTTTTTGGATCTTATTTTTTTATTTTTTTATCAGGGTGGATCTATGTAGTGGAGATGGTTCTAAAAATCTATTCATTTGGATTCGAAAATTATTGGAGGGATGGTCAAAACCGCTTTGATTTTGTGGTCACGTGGATAATAGGTAACCACTCTGGGTGGGCAAGTGGCAGATGGCAGTTGTCAATCCTGCCTCCCTATTATGCTAGCAATTTTACATATCAGAACTTCTGTTAAATTCGATTGATAGATTTTTCTTTTGCGCTTCTTTTAGCTTATTCTTCTTCTCCTTTAGTATTGTATTGTATAATGTTATATGAGAAATATGGAATAGACATGATGCTGTGATTGTTGATCTTTATATTTGCAGTTATTGGAGAAACAATTACTTTTGCTTCCCCTGATGAACAGACCTTTTTCTCAAATGGAGAATGGTAGGGACAGTTCCATTTTATCATATTGTACACCTTCTCATTCTTTAGAATTAATTTTTGTCTTCATTGTGTACTTTAGTTAAAAAAATGAGCTTTTTGATATAATCAGAATGTGCTCAAATCTTTTAGAAATCTATAACCAATAATTATTGTGTCTAACTAGTGTCTATAGGAATAGAAGCTATAACAAAAAAATTTTTATGTTTAGATTTTGCAAGTAGTGTTGCTGAGTTTTGAGGAAAGTCTAGTGCTGGCAGACAATTTGAAATCCACTCCAATATGTTTATTTCCCAACTTTCAGAATTCCTATCTATAGATGTTTGGTAATCTGTAATTTACATAATTTTGGTTTTTTTTAAGTTTCTGTAGATCTGAAAATGATCTCTTCCTGTATCTTTTTAATTTATATTCTAATGTCTGATGCGCCTTTATGTTTTGCTGTCTTCTGTCGTGTGTCCGAGTTATAGTTCTTATGCAAGAAATTGCTGTTTTTTAATATCTACCTTGGTTGGGTTATCCTCTTTTCTTATTAACAGGATTCGGTACCTTCTTCTTGCAAGAATGTTAAGATTGATAAGGATTCTTACACATGTCAAGCGTTACCGAGCATTTATCTCCACATTCCTGACCCTCATACCAAGTTTAATGCCGTATCTTGGGACTATTTTTTGTGTGTTATGTATCTATTGCTCTCTCGGTGTACAGGTAATGTGGATACTCTTTCTATCTGCCTTACAAATGAAAAGTAATCAACGTGGAAAATGAATAATAGGTGCTTTTTCTTTTGTTGTTATTGCTTGTTTATGAGTCCATGCTTTTCATCAGTAGAAAAGCTGGAAGAAATATGTTTACAACACATATTCCATTTTGTTGCTTCCTTTTAATTATGAAAATGCTAAAATGGTATAAGTTTCTCTTTTCTAGATTGAGTGATTTCACTCATGTCAACATTTCTTTAGAGCTTTAGTACACTGGTTCACTTGATTTTGGTGCTAGTAACAAGAGTTTGATGTTTCCCTCAAATTGCTTTTTATTTTATGTTCTTTAGCTCTGGTGGTAGAAAGTTTTCAGGTTTTTTTCCCCCCATTTTCTGACAGAAAATTTTCAACTTGTTACCTGTTTTCTGCATATCACTGAAACAGCATATCTTCAGCACCTATGGTTTCTTTGAACTCAATATTGCTCTGTAATGTTTAAGTTCCTAACTATACTTTTCACCTGTAACTTTGTAGGTGTTTGGTGGAATTGTCAATGCTGGAAACCCCAAATTGGAGGGAACAGATCTTGCTGATAATGAGTATCCTTCATAGTTTATACA